CAACAACAACAACAACAACAACAACAACGACAACAATTACTAGCACGTGGGGACACTCCGTTCTCACCAGTGCCAGGGTTTTTCATAGGAGGCGGGCAATACCCCCACTTTGTGGGGGGGCCGGTTCAAGCTCTACCAAGTTTCCAAACGACTCTTCGCCACCACCCACACAGCTTCCCGCCCTATGACGTTCGGACACTTCACTTCGTGGCCTGCGGACGACCTTGGCTACTACACTGGCGCATGGGTACAATGACTTGTTGTGGTAACATTTTGTGGAAGCTAGCGAAGTATACGACTTTTCCCCCTGCAATTGAAGATTTCGGCGTGCGCGCGAGCTCATGTAACTTAAATGTTGGAAACCATTGGTTTTTTTTAGGATTCGGACAGCGCGCGCGGGTAGAAATGTTGAAAAGTCGTGCAGGTGTTTTTCGAGGACCTACGGTGCGATTCGTGTGATTTTATGATGCGCGGTGGTAAAATTCTTAAGAACCCAATGGTTTTGGAAGATTTCGGCGTGCGCGCGCGAAGAAAAAACGAATCTGTCCCGCATGGTATTATTTGACAGGGATGATGGCCCTGGCAGGTGCGCAACCGTTGTCGCAGAAGTTCGAAAAAGTTGCTCGCAAAAGCCCGTTTGACAGAAATGTTTAAAAAGTGTTGGGTTTCCTACGAATCCGCAAGAGCGCGCGGGATGAGATTTTGACAATTTTTTTTGTTGAAAAACCATTGGTTTTTTGATGTTTTTATGTTAAAATCGCTGCGAACACTAAGGTTTTGGAAGGATTTCGTCTTGCGCGCGCGAATGTCCACTTTACCTTATTTTTTGCAAGGGATTCTTGAAATTTGATTATATTAGAACAAGAAATGTCATTTTCTATTGTTTTTTGCAAGGGAAAGCGGATTACAACAAAACAACCGGATCCTGTACACACCTCTTTTCTGAGGCTTCCTCACGAAAATGATGAAAATGTAGCTGCGGCCTAGGCGGCGCAGGGGGGGCGCGCACCAGGGGGCCCAACAATAATTATTCTTTAGAATAAATAATGTTCAACAACAACAACAACAACAACAACAACAACAACAACAACAACAACAACAACAACAACAACAACAACCATTTTAAGGCTGTACGCTCTTACTTGCCCGCGAGTCATTCAACACGTATACCCTACACCCTCGATGCCCGCCCTCTTCGTCTTCGATCACACCCCTTTCGGGGGGATTATTTCTCTTTGCTGGGGCCGGCGGGCTTAGACGTACGGGCAAACCGGAACGGGCGGACAATCCTTCGGGGGCGTACATCTCTCTGCCCGCCATTGGAATTGGCGCGGGCCCTGCAAGAGGAGGAGGGGAAGAACGAGGGAGAGTGGGAGGAAGGGGAGGGGGAAGGACGAAGGAAGAGGGAAGATACCACGTTGTGAAGGCGTCCTTGGCGCGTGCGTGGTTCCTGAGCGCCGAAACGCAATTCCAGAATAATTTGTGAGGACGTCGCACGCGAGAGCGCAGTCCTGAGTACATTGTGAGGAAATCTCTGGCGGAAGCGGGGGCCCTGACTAAGTTGCGAGGAAGTCTCAAGCGGGAGCGCCGTTCCTGAGCAAATTGCACGGAAGTCTCAGGCGGGAGCGGGGGTCCTCACTAAATTGCGAGGAAGTCTCAGGCGGGAGCGCCGTTCCTGAGTCAATTGCGCGGAAATGTCAGGCAGGAGCGGGGGTCCTGAATAAAATTCGAAGAAGTCACGCGGGAGCGCCGTTCCCACGTAAATTGCACGGAAGTCTCAGGCGGGAGCGGGGGTCTTGATTACATTGCGAGGGAGTCTCAGACGGGAGCGCCTTTCCTGAGTAAATTGCGCGGAAGTCTCAGGCGGGAGCGGGGGTCCTGAGTAAAAATCGAGGAAGTCTCAGGCGGGAGCCGTTGTTGTTGTAGCCCGGGGGGCAGGGGCACAGTTTGAGCAGGAAGACTTTCCTTGAGAAAAAACCAGGTGCGAGCCCCGGGGGTGGCACTTCAATCGAAAAAAATCAATGTGCACCGGTGGGGGGGGATCAACAATAATTATTCTTCAAGAATGAGAGTTCAACAGCAACAACGATAACAACAACACCAACACCAACAGCAACAACAACAACAACAACAACAACAACAACAATAACAACAACAACAACAACAACAACAACAACAACAACAACAACAACAACAACAACAACAACAACAACAACAACACAAACAACATAAACATAAACATAAACAGAAACAGCAACAGCAGCAACAACAACACAACTGAAATTGCGCCCCATTGAAACGAAATCGCAACACCTACCTGGGACAAACAACTCCTCCCGCGTTTCCAAGATGTCAGAACGCATGCAGAACGCCTAACCTACGATATAACCACTACCTAGGCAACTCTACATCCTCCTCCTCCCCCCCCTGCTCCCCACACTCATCAGATAATTCCTCACTCCTGTCCCCTTCTCTTCCTCCTCCCCTTCCCCTCCTCCCCCTCCTCCACCTCCTCCTCCTCCTCCCGTCCCGACCTCATGCTCTTATCGCCCTCCTTCTCCTCCTCCTCCTCCTCCTCCTCACTTTAATACTCCTCAACCTCCTGCTCGCGCAATCAGAAACGCTGGCCACATGTCACGTGTTCCCGACTCGGCTTAGTAGAGCTCCTGACGCAAACGAATACGTATAAGCAACGAACGAAACCAGCCTGTTAGACAGGAGTGACAGAACGAGCCGAGAAATATGCTTCGGAACGTGACTTGCTCCTAGACGAAGGTTAAAACCATTCCTGAGCCCACGGAACCCCTCCAATACCCTCCCCATGAGACAGACCAGAAACCGCCATCGAAGACCATGATGTCTGCCCAAGTAGCAAACAGCCCTGTTCGGGACATACTCGCCATGGTACCCGCAACGGAATACTCGCATGGGACGGTACTTGGAGCCTCCCGTGATAAAAACGCTCCCTTCGGTGGCAACTCATGGGAGCCTCCCATACCATCTTGTCGACTCCTGCGAATCGACGCTAGCCAACGATAGATCGATGCTAATCGACGCTAAATCGACGCTGGCCGACACTAAATCGGCGCTATCTCATCGACTCCCAGACGCTAGTCGACGCCAGTCGACGCTAATGACGGAATCAGGAGGATGTACATGGCTCCCATGGTTTGCTACCGAACGCTCCCTCTTCCTCCCCCTGGTGCAGCGCAGGCTCTTCCACCCCCCTCTAAGCCTTCTGCAGCAAATCCCTGGCGCGCTCGTCGCAGGGGTATCTGGTTGGCAAGGCAAGGGGCAACAAAAAAAACGTTAGCTCATGCGACTGTGGGAACCGTCGTCGTCATTTCCGTCGGTATGGCCACCAGGCTCATAATCACAGCTGGTCGCACGCGATCACAGTTTCAACAATAATGCTTAACTCAATGGTCCAACTCTGTACATACATACATACAAACAAACAAGCATACATACATACACACATGCATGCATACATACACACATACATACATTACCTATTCCTCTTCCTATATGCTTGCAATCCGGGCGGGGCGAAAACCCGCCCCCCCCCAAAAAAAAACAGGACTCCTGGGATTAAGAGATTTGGACCCCCATGGAACAAAAAACAACCCGCCGCTCCAGACCTCCAAGGGCGCTGGGTCTTGCCAGCAACCCACGAAAGCACAAGAGCTCTCCAAGAGTGGCCCAGATGGCCTCCGGCACCCTCTACCACGCCAAGGCCGCGCTAACGGCGTGCTTGGTTGACGGTGCGCTTAGGAATCTGGATTTTGTGACACCGTGCTCACGCAGAACAAAACGTAGCACATCACGAAACACCGTTTCCTACACTTCGAATGTGCGAGCGTATCGAGCAAGAACGACACAGCGAGCTGTAGGAAAACACGAGCCGCGCGTTCCCGTATTTGTTGTGCTTGGCTACGGACCACGCCTTCCTACGTTCGGTTGTCCTACATCGCCGTTAGCTAACACACCGGTAGTGCGTCTACGGCTACGTTGCTCCCATCGCACTTAAGGACCACATCCCAGAAATAAATTCGAGCGCCCTCAAATGTGCCAAAACAGTGTCGATCGAGTGTCGCCTCCCGGGGCCCGACACGTGAAAACCTTCGAAATTTGGTACTGTCTTGATGCTCGAAGTTATTTCTGGTAGCGAAGGCTAAAACAAGTTGGAACATCATAATCCAAGAATGGCCCAGGCGGCCTCCGGCACCCTCCGCCGCGCCACGCCCACGGAGCAGCGACCCAAAAAGGCGAAGGGGGGGGGAACGATCCCATTCGCACGAGGCCTTCGCGCGGGAGGGGGCCTCGATCCCTGGTGCTTTGAGGGGAGGAGGAGGAGGAGGAGGAGGAGGAGGAGGAGGAGGAGGAGGAGGAGGAGGAGGAGGCCGACAACGAGGAGGGGGAGGGGAGGGGGGGGCAATCCTGAAAGATTCCCCAATAAGTGCTTGCACCGAAGGGCTCGTGGCGGAAATTGGAAGATTTGGTGGCAGTTTCCTTGCCTGCACTGAAGGGGTCCCAGCGGAAATAGAAAAAAACTGCGAAAATGTCCCGCCGATTTTGGTAGCCGGCTGGGTTCCTGGGTCCCCGGTTCCGGGTTCCCGGGTTCCTGGTTATTGGTTCTGGGCCGATATCGGTGGGTTCCGGGCTCCCGGGTTCCAGGGGTCCCGGTCGATCTCCTTATCGATATGTTTTCAATCCCTTGTCAAACAACCCACTGATTGGGTTTTTCTGTGGTCTATGATATGGACAGCCGACCCCCCAACACCATTTCATCTTCGTTCTTCTGACTATATAGTACCCATTTTCTTTCCGCCTCCCTCTCTTCCTCTTGCTGGTATCTTTCTTACTGTCCTCCTCCCTCCTTTCCTCCCCCTACCTCGCCTGCAGATTCTCATGGCGTCTGCTGGCGCATTTGGTTCGACTCCACTGGCGAGCGCGCTCTGGCTGCTAGACTGGCCAACGCCCAACGGCAACACAACGTATAAGATACAAACGGCTCTTTCCCCCGCAGAGGCAGCCCACAGCTTAAGCCCACAACGTATGAGCCATCCCGCAGACACGAGAAGCCACTGAACCCTGAGATTGCACTGGGATGCTTGGGATTGCCGGCGTATCACTACCAGAAGTCGTATGAATTCATTGGGATGCTCGGGATTCCTGGGGTTTCCCGCCCTCCGACAAACTGTACCCTGGAGCCTACCAGGGCTCCAATTCCCACGCATCCAAGGCACAAGGTTCGCGACGTCAGGGAAGCCCAAATCCTGTGATGTCACTGGGATGCTCGGGATTCCTTGGGTGCTAATCCCAAAGGCCAAATGATTTCACTGGAACGCGTCGTGGGATTTCAAGGATCGCAGGTCCTCCGACTGAAGTTCGCCTTTGAGCCCACCAGTGGTCCGAACCCCACGCGCCCAAGGGAATTCACAAGGTTCGCGAAGCCAGGGAAGCGCGGCCCCTGCAAGTTCACTGGGATGCTGGGGATTCCTGGGATGCTAATCCCAGAAGCCATGAGATTTCACTGGGACGCTTGGGATTCCTGAGGTTGTCCACCCTCCAGCTAATACTCACCCTGGAGCCCCACCACGGCTCCGAATTCCACGCCCCCCCCCATGAATTTTAAAGGTTCACGACCTCAGGGAAGCCCAATCACTGCGATTTGACTGGGATGCTTGGGATTTCTGGGGTGCGAATCCCCGAACAGATGTGATTTCACTGGTACGCTTGGGATGCCTAGGATTTCCAATGGTTCAGAACCCTGGAGGTTCCAAGATAAACTTGGTAGGAGCGGGGGATGGGAAACCCCAGGAATCCCAAGCGTCCCAATGAATTCAAATGGTTTCCGGGATGAGCACACCAGGAATCCCAAACACACCAGTGAATCGCAGGGGCTGGGCTTCCCTGACGATGCGCACCCTGTGAATTCACTGGGGTGCTTGGGATTCGGGGCTCTGGGGGGAATGCAGGGGGAATGTTCAGTCGGATGACGGACAATCCTAGGAATCCCACGCGTCCCGGTGAATTCATATGGCGTCTGGGGTTAGCGCCCCAGAAGTCCCAAGCATCCCAGGGAAATCACGGGGTTCGGGGACTCCTCGTGTCTGCGGGACAGCTCACAAACTTTGGGCTCCCTCTGCAGGGGGTGGCGCCGCTTGCATCCAGAAAGCAGGAAAACATACGAGGAATAGAGAGAGAGAGAAAAGAGAGAGAGAGAGAGAAAGAAATATTGATATATTGAGACATACATAAATAAAGGGGGAGAGAGAAATAGAGAGAGAGAGAGAGAGCTGTATAGAGAGAGGGGGGGAACCACACACAACCAACTACATACAGGAAAACAGCGATGGGGGAGAGGGAAGAGACAGAGGGAGAGAAAAAGAGAGAGAGAGAGCGATGCATTTGTATATATATATATATATATATATGTAACAGGGAGAAAGTGAAGCAGAGCTGGAGAGAGAGAGAGGGGGGCAGGTTGAGAGAAGGGGGTGGGAAAGAGAGAGAGAGAGAGGGCGAAGGAAACAGAACGAAGAAGCGGGGAGGAAGCAAGGAACATTTCTAAGAAGGGGACAAACTGACGCAATGAGGAAGAAAGGTAGCGGATGGATGAGGGAGGGCGATACGGGGACACGCGCGAAGAGGAATAGGAGATGGCGGGAATCAGAAATAGCAGAGGGACAATAGAGAGAACAACAGACTGTGATCTATGAAGAAATGGAGAACGATAGCAGAGAGAAGCATGAGGAAGTAGGGGTGCCAGCGGAACAAATTGCTCGAAGGAGGGCGATGGGGAAGATGAAGCAGTAGGAGTGCCAGCACGAGTAAGAGCAGGGGCAGTGAGAACGGAGAGTAAAGTAGACGCGAACAAAGCGAATCACCCATGGGAACTCAATGGGTGCTTAATTGGGGGGAGGGGTGCTTCGCACATGTATGTATCTTGTTCGCGCGTCTCCGTTGCCGTCATAAGCATCGTTCGGCGGCGAACGAGGGGGGCAAACGAGAAGGAGAAGGCCTTCTCAGAAGGTGCGGAAATCCCCCTGCCTTCTGAGAAGCTCTCTCAGCCCTGAACCTTCTCGGAAGGCGCGAGGGCCTCTGAGAAGCCCCGCATCCTTCCGAGGAGGCCGTCTCCTTCTCACCCTCCGCCCCTCGCGCTCGCCGCCGCATCGTCTTGCCTCGGGGCACTGCGGCTCGGGCCACTGCCGAGCGAAGGACTGCTCTGCGCGGCTGCAGCGGAGACGTCAGCGCACTGAGTCAGCCGATGGGCGAACCGTCGGCGTTGCCTCCCAGGCCCAGCGCGCCGGCAGCATAGAGCAGAACAAGTCGGCAGCCTCTAGCACGGTGGCACTCTGCACGTGCAGGTTGCTGCTAACCTAATAATTGGAAGGACGGCCCTGGAATGTGCAACTAATTCAAAAGGTATGTGATGCTTCACTTGTTCAGCTTTGATGATGGAGGGCCAGAGAGGGAATCTGAACGAGCCATGACATGACAAGGCCGTATCAAAGATGAGGCTCACCGCCTAAGAATAAGGTTGAATCAAGGTCGGCGCACGAATCAACAAACTACTAAGCAGAGTGGCTGCCACGAGCAGCGCCGTGCAACGATCCAGAGACACCATTTGCCAAGCACGAAATTAAAGATGATTGAAGGGGAGAGAGGAGGGGAGGAGAAAGAAGGAGGGTCTGATTCACGTTGTATGCAAGCCCTCTAGCCGTCAATCTTGCGGGACTCCGATCTGGTGCTAGCCCACGGTCCGTGCTATGAGCTGCCAACAAACATCTTTCAAGACGGCCGCCCTTTAGACCGACACCGCTTCTCTCACTGCGCTCCCAAGCCCATCCACAGCAGCTGCGCGGACACGGAGCAACACGATGGGGATTAGACAGGCGCGTTCCACTACTCGCAAAGTAACTACTCGCAAATGGCCTGGATCGGCCATGGGGAATCTACAATATATTACATCGATGCAAATATGTAATTCTCGGACGTTTGCGAGTGAGCACTTTGCGAGTAGTGGAACGCGCTCGGTGAGGGATGGTTTGGGTGACCCAAAAGGGGGTCCAGCTGAAAAGGGGTGGTGCAGTAGATTTGGGCCAATTGTATTGCAGATGTATTGCGCCGGAGAACTGTATCACATCGTATGGCAAGTAATGCGTTGCACGCGAAAGTCCAGCAATTCATTTTCGCCCCGGAATGTACTGCACGCCCCAAAGGTACTGCAACCCCACGAATGTACTGCGCCGGGATCTATTGCACCGCCCCCTCGTCGCTGGACTCCACGTCGGGTCTCCACCCGGGGAGCGCGCGGAGGGGGAGGAGGAGGAGGAGGAGGAGGAGGAGGAGGAGGAGGAGGAGGAGGAGGAGGAGGAGGAGGAGGAGGAGGAGGAGGGATGGGCAGACCAAGGTCGGAGGAGAAGCTGGCGGGAAGGCATCGGCGGGGGAGGCGGCAGGCAGTGGGCGGGGCAGGAATAGAGGGCGCGGCGGGGCACGGGGAGCAAAAAAAAAAAAACGGGCATGCGGCAGGTGATCGTTCTGTTAGTCACTGCTTTGTGGAGTGCAGCATGGGGCCCTTCCACAAGAGGCCCTCCACAGAAGACCCAACCCTGAGGCCCCAGGCCGTCCAGGCATTTCTGGTGTGGGACCGTCACGCTTTCCATCGCAAAAACATCGAAACCCGAGAAACCCAGGGGACCCTGGAGGCGAGCAGGGTGTTTCTTGGCCTGGTTCTCCACTGTAGATCTTGGCTGTTTTTGGCGTCTGCTTCGACCAGGCGGAGCCTCACCTCGTAGGACGCACTGTCGCAAACAGTCGCACTATAGGCAGAGGTCCGGAGCCAAACCCCCCCCTTCCCCCCCCCGTATCCGCCCAATGTCGGAACGCCGAATACAACAAGAAACGCTCGCCAGAGAGAAGCTCGGGCCGGGCGAAAGGGGGGGATTGCAAAGGGGGGGTTTGAGAATCAGCTCACGTAGCTGATTTTCCCGGCGTCTCCCGGCGCCGGAGGCGGCCATGTATCGAGGGATCGGCCCCTCGGTGGGGCTGAAACCAGCTGCATGCATCAGATGTTGTAGCCCCCCCTTTCCCTATCCCCCCCTTTCGTCTGGCCCGAGAAGCTGTGGGACAAGGGGTTCCAGCGCGTCAAGCTGGCAAGAAGGGGGCACGCCTGCCCAGAAACTCCAGCACCTCGGCGTCGTAACGGACGTCGGGCCCGGCCGCGATGTCCGCAGCCGCAACAGATGCGAGTGGATTGTTCGGGCCGCCTGCGAGAACAAACACAACGACAGACTGCGAGAGGGAGAGAGAGAGAGAGAGAGACATAGATGAACATGCAAATCCAGGCGAAGGACCAGACTCAGGTGCGAATGCTGAAAGGCAGATGGGACGAAAGAGGGGGACGAGTACCGCAATGCAGGTGAGACGGAGGAGGGGAGCGAGGAACGTTCATGCAGACGTGGCCACTGTGGCGATCGGTGGGGCTCCTGATGGGCAGCGACATGAGTCAAGGCCTATGGAGCAACGAAGCGTGCGAGGGGTGCCGAAATGGGCGAGGATCCGCTTCCTCGCCCTCCTTCTCCTCACCCGCTTCCTCGCCGTCCGCATCCTCCTCCTCCTCCTGCGCCTGCTTCCACTGCCGCGCTGTCGCACCAAAACTGTTCCTGGGGAAACCGACGGCCGAGAGAGATCGAGTACAAGAGGAGACGCCTCCAATGCAGAATGCGCAGCCCACGCTCACGGGCGCGGCCTGATTGAAGCACACGTGCGCGTAAGCCGCCTGAAATATTCAGGCAATAGCCAGGTACTACAATCGGATTTCGTCCACGAGGTGTTTCGAGGCAAATACCTGCCAACTCACGCTTGCGCCGAATAATCAACTCCGTCTGCAACATCGGTAGCTAACAGACGTCCGTCAATGCTCATGACGTCTAGCAGGTACGCGATACGATCGATCATGGCCTTGAACGCAAAAGTCCCCAACTTCTCATCGCCGTTTTGTACTGCTGAGATTTGCAGACAATCTGCGATGAAGACGAACCGCTGACAAGAATTATCTCACCGAATCCCGTTTCCCAGAGACACTCCCTTGATTGGGCATAAAGTTGGCATAAAGGGATCCCTAACTCTTTGGGAGATGATTTCAGTTAGGAGGGCCAGGAACATTAGGGATAGGCGGCCTTTTCTGCTTGTGTACGGAGCCAAACATCACAGATGTATGATCCCTGATGCGAAGACGAGGACCTCAGTGAGGCTACGTCTTCATCGTGTCATTCCCCAACTAGTGCTTGCACTGAAGGGGTCCTAACCCGATTTTGGTGGCCGGCTGGTTCCTGGATTCCCGGTTCCGGGTTCCTGGGGTCCTGATTATTGGTTCTAGGCCGATCCCGGGTTCCCGGGGTCCCGGTCGATCTCCTTGTCGATCTCTTTATCGATCCCTCTTCAAACCATCTGTCGATTGAGGTTTTTTCTCTGGTGAAATTAGGGTTAGGGGTTTTTTTATCCTCAATGATCCCTCCTCCCCAGACCCACGACGTCATGAATTTGTCATTACGTCGACCCCCAGAGGTCTCGCCCCCTTCACCAAGTCCGGTTTCTCATCCTGAGTCGTTTTATGACGGCCCCGAGGTCCGTCGAGGGCCCCCGGAGGCCGAAAATCAGGGAAAACCTCCCGTCATGATTTTTTCGCTACCCGAGGGGGTCATGGGTGGCGAAAGTGGGTGGCGAAAGTTGCTTGTCGTGAGTAAGCTGTACCTTGTCGTGTCTCAGCTTGCTCTTGGCGTGCTTCCTTTTCCCTAGTCGTGAGAACACCCCAGTTTTGAGGGGGCCTGGGCTCCCCGGGGGCAGCACGCAGCAGCCCCAGCCTCCTTAAAACAGCCCGGGCCGAGAGGGGCCGCTCGGGCCGCGAGGGACAGCTCGGGCCGAGAGGGGCAGCCGAAAACTGGGGAACACCTCCCGCCATGATTTTGTTTCACTGCCCCAGGGGGTCTGGGCTCCCTGGGGGCACCACACATCACCAGCCTGGAACATATCCCTATCCCTGAGCTGGACGTCGCCTCATCGCGATGCCAGTCTTAGGGGTTCCCTTATCTCTTGACGGCGCACCCCTAAGATTGTCATCGCTTTTTGGCGTGTCAATCTTAGGGATAGGGATATTAGATGCTCATTCTGGGGACCTCCCTGCAGCCACTCGCTCCACTCGTGCGTCGAAGCTGCGTCTAACCTGAGTCGAACCTGAGTCGAACATGAGTCGAACCTGACTCGAATCTGAGTCGAACCTGAGTCGAACCTGAGTCGAACTTGGGTCGAACCTGAGTCGGACAGATCCATTAGGTGGCCCCCAGGAAGGTCCCCAAAACGAGCATCGAAAGGATAAGTTCGAGGCTGGCAAACACAGCAGCTCCGGCCTCCCCCAGAAAAATACCCTGCGACGTACCCAACCCAATGGCATCAAGTGGCAAGCGGAGTAGGGAAACATTAGCAGGAACCGTGACAGTGCAGGCGCGGCGATTTGTAGTGCGACCTACATGGGATGCGTAATGTTGCACGACTCACATAACAGCAATCGATAAGACGAGGAGTATGTCTCAAGGCTTGTTAAACAATAGCGGGGGCGGGAACGAGGGACAGGAGAAGGACGAACCCAGTAGGAAGGGGCGAGGGGCCATCGCGGCAACAGCACCATGAATGCATAAGGTAACAGGAGGACTAGGGCGGCGATGATGAAAGAGGAGGGAGGAAGCAAGAGACTGTTTCGTTTTTGCAGGAGCTCGGTCAACGCATGCCTGCTGCCTGTCCACAGGATCATACCTGTTTATATCGCAGGAAGCGATCGAGACCTAGCTCGCGCGCCAGCTTCTCTGCCTCCTTCCTGCATGTTGCAGTGCGGGAACTGAACTTCCGCAGTTTCTCCGCAAGGTCTGCCGGTGGGCCGCGGGCAAGAAAGTCAAGGCCGGGGTCGCGCACCATCAGTAGGTTGTCTATCGTCGTCGCCCTGGACAGCATCACGTAGAGGTGCAGCCACAGAGCGTCCAGAGCGCCAGCGGAGGACCAGCCGACAGGGCTAGCGCGTCTCGGTGATTGCCGCCGCCGCTGCAGCACGGGCCGGACTTCCTCCCCCCTTCCTTCTCCACCTCCACCCCATCGTTTTCCCCTTCCTCGTCTTCCGCTTTGCGATACTCGCGCGTTTCAAAATGGCGGCCCAAGAAATTAATTTCACAACCTGGCGATGGTGTAAGAATCGGGAATGATTAGCGGGCATGATGGGCAACCTCACTTCCAAGCCAAATCGCCACAGTGATCATTCATCATGCTCGTGGTCAAAAGAACTGAGTGACAAGAGAGCCCGAGGGGCAACCTCACCTCTGAAACGACCCGCGTCAGTGGTGACAGTTTCCCAGAATGGCAGCCCCCCAGGGACGGCGAGGTCTAATCTGAATCTGGGTGGTGCCTCACTCCGCGGGACTGACCAGCAGCCTTCGAAAGTGGTGACAGTTTCACAGATCGCAGCCCCCCCCAGGGATGGTGAGGTCTAATCTGAATCTGCGTGGTGCCTCACTCCGCTGGACCCACCAGCAGCCCTCGAAAGTGGTGACCGTTTCGCAGATCGCAGACCCCCAGGGATGGCGAGGTCTAATCTGAATCTGCGTGGTGCCTCACTCCGCTGGACCCACCAGCAGCCCTCGAATGTGGCGACAGTTTCGCAGATCGCAGCCCCCCAGGGATGGCGAGGTCTAATCTGAATCTGCGTGGTGCCTCACCCCGCTGGACCCACCAGCAGCCCTCGAATGTGGCGACAGTTTCGCAACCAGCAGCCCTCGAATGTGGCGTCAGTGTCGCAGATCGCAGCCCCCCAGGGATGGCGAGGTCTAATCTGAATCTGCGTGGTGCCTCACTCCGCTGGACCCACCCTCAGCCCTCGAATGTGGCGACCGTTTCGCAGATCGCAGACCCCCAAGGAGGTGGCGAGGTCTAATCTGAATCTGCGTGGTGCCTCACTCCGCTGGACCCACCAGCAGCCCTCGAATGTGGCGTCAGTGTCGCAGATCGCAGCCCCCCAAAGATGGCGAGGTCTAATCTGAATCTGCGTGGTGCCTCACTCCGCTGGACCCACCAGCAGCCCTCGAAAGTGACGACAATTTCGCAGATCGCAAACCCCCAGGGATGGCGAGGTCTAATCTGAATCTGCGTGGTGCCTCACTCCGCTGGACCCACCAGCAGCCCTCGAAAGTGACGACAGTTTCGCAGATCGCAGCCCCCCAGGGATGGCGAGGTGGCTAATCTGAATCTGCGTGGTGCCTCACTCCGCTGGACCCACCAGCAGCCCTCGAAAGTGGTGACAGTTTCGCAGATCGCAGCCCCCCAGGGATGTCGAGGTCTAATCTGAATCTGCGTGGCGCCTCACTCCGCTGGACCCACCAGCAGCCCTCGAAAGTGGCGACGGTTTCACAGATCGCAGCCCCAAAGGGATGACGTAAAAGGCAAGAGAGAAGAGGAGGTGCGAAGAGAGGAGGAGAAGGGAAGCAAGAGAGGAGGAGCGAAGAGAGGAGAAGGGATGCAAGAGAGAAGAGGAGGAGCGAAGAGAGGCGGATAAGGGAAGCAAGAGAGGAGAGGAAGAGGGAAGAGAGGAGGAGGAGGCGGGAAGGAAGGAAGGTGGAGACCGCAGTGCTCTATTCAAAACGAGTACCCAACGCAGGAGGGTTGGGAAAAACAGCTCGGGCCGAGCCGGGCCGCCGAGAGCGGCCACAACACCGTCGGAGAGGAGCGCGCCGGCTCCGCGGCTCCCCCCGCCGCTCCCCGCCCGGCCTGCCTCAGCACTGCTCTTTAGGTCGGGCGTGGTCTCCCACAGGGGGGCTTTGGACGAGAAGTAAATCGTCAAACAAAATAACCCCTAGCTGCGGATAAACCCTAAGGGATAATAAAGTTCGGGGTTTTCGGGGGGATAATAAAAGTTGCCCGCCAGAGCCAGCATAAAGAGATATCAAAAGGAAAAAGCCAAATATATCTTGAGGATTGTCTCGGTTGAGACATCCTCAACGAATTGCTTGTTTCGCTTGAGACATCCTCGAAGTATGTGTCTGTTTCGCTTGAGACACCTTCAAATTATTGCTTATTTCGCTTGAGACATCCTTGAGGGAGGAGGAGGAGAAAGAGCAAGAGGAGGAGAGGAGAAGGATATGGCAAACATCCAAAGTTTAAAACGTATTAGATTTAATGTGTAAACGCTTGATGAAAATTAAAATTTTCATCTGCTTGTGTAGGGTAGCTC